GCAACCAATGGACTGTAATATATGAATTTGATGAGTGGTGGTGGAGAAAGGAAATTGATGGATGATATAGATCTATCACTTGCATTTTTCTAAAAGGAAGGATGATCAGAAGTTTGTTGATGTTGAGGAGAAACCCACAGAAGTGTTTTCTAACTCAGTTGTTATAGAGGCGATCGAGTAATTTGGGCTATGATATTGCCATAGCACCAATACAGATTTGAGCAATGAGGCAATTGTTTCTCATGTAATTGATTGGAACGGTATGACGATAATTCATCTTGCAGAAGAGCAAGCTGGTGCCCCACTCCCTGTGATGGATGAGGATGCAATGTATTAGTTTGTTAGCCTTAGAGAAGAGGATGAGAAAGCCGAGCAAGCTAAGATTGCTGCTTAAAAGGAGAATGAAACTAATCTTGAGCCTGTGGACCTACAATGTGCAAGGTTGTTGGTTGATGATCGTATACCTAGTGAGGATTCTGTGTTTTATGATACGAAAGACCCTTCAATGAAAGTTGTTGGAAGCATATATGCTACTCCCTCTGGTACCTGTTTGCGCCAAATCTGTTCAAATCTGTCAGCAAGCGAAGCCGTGCTCGTTCAGTCAAGGTGTGCCGCACCAACGTCGCTAGGTGCGCGACATCACCGGCGTACTCACCACGGAGGTGCTTTGTGAGTACGTGGACCTCTGGGAAAACTTACAGCTCCAGCCGATGCTATTTAATACAACTTGCAAATAGCTAGTTAGGTAAGGGTTAGACATAATAATAAAAACACTGTAGTGGAGGTTTATGTGAGCTATGAGAGAGCTATTTCTATGATATCGTTCTAGACTAACTATTTGGGAGTCACTAGCTATTTGATCTCACTCCTTGATATAGCCAATAGCATTTTTCCTAGACTAGCTATTTGGGAATCATTAGGGATGCCTTAAGAGCACTCCCAACCCAAAACTAGGAGTAGTTTCCATAGCATTAAATACTATGCCACCATAGCTACTTTGCTGACGTGGTAGGCTAGTTAAGAGAGAGATGAAAATTCATAGACATCGTTTCTCGTATGAGAAACGAAGTTGGCTCTCGCTTCGACACACCAGGAAACGACCATTTTAGCGTTGGGCCTCCTTCGGTCTTTTCCATCTGCTTGCTCTCTCTCTGTTCTAGATCCGCTACGCCCTCCTACAGTTCCATCTTCCTCTCGCGCCTTCACCCGTGCGTGCACCTTCCACGCAGGCTCGAGCACGAGCGCCCCCCTCCGCTCCTTTTTTTCACTCGCGCACGACGACTTCCCATCAGTGATGGAAACAGTTTTCTTCTCGGTTGCTGCGCTACTATGTGGTGACCTTAGTGCGTCCTCGGCCGGCTGCGTGGGCACCTCGAGACGCAAGAGCCTACTTCTCACTACCAGGCTACGGAGAATTCCCGTCGGCTCTGAAAATTCCTGTTGGCTTCCAAAAACCTTCAGGAAATCCTAGGCTATTTTTTAGTGGGCCCATCCATGAATTGGAATAGTATATAAAAGAACCCCAAAACCCTAGGCTCATTTGCCTACCGCCGCCCCATGGCCGCGGAGCGCTAGCCCCTCCCGCTGCATCCGACGCTGCCCCGTTCTACTTCGGCGCAGGCTCTACCGCAATCGACACCGTTGCCCCTCCCCCTGCATCCCCCCGCTCATAGCCGCACCTGCATCTATCGCCGCCACCCCTCAACTACATCCACCGCCGTGGCTCCTCATCTGCATCTGCCGCCGCTAGCCAGCCCTCAGTCTGCACGCACCGGTGCCGGCCCCTCCAACTGCACCTGACGCCGGCACTGCCTCAGATCAAGCAGATCCACTCACGACGTCGCCTCCCCTCACGCAACAAGCCGGAGGCCACAAGAAGAGTGTGGATCCGCTGCTGATTTAAAGAGGAGCTAGAGGTTTGCTGCCACGGAGGGGAGAAGAAGATCATGTTGCAAGAGATCAAGGGAAGAACAAGAAAGGCAAAGGAAGGAGTTTCCTTAAACCCCAAGAGGTGATTAATACATCCCTTGCATTTTTCTTCATGGTACCAAAGCATTCATTGTGCATTGGGAAACTCTAGCTATATGTCTGCAATATATGTTCACTGGTGTAGGAATGAATCTGATTATGGAGTATTATCAATTGTTAGCAGTATATGGCACAACCGCAATTAGTGTGAGAACACATATGAATTTTGTTCTGGTTGTCCACTGTCTTTTTGCACACTAATAAAGACAGTCAAGGTAAGGTAGCTGATTAGTTAGTCAATATAAATATGATATATAGATTAGAACTTAGCCTTATTAGAAGCATGCAGAGGCAAATATATTTTGTGGCCTATATGAAACTATATTTATATATATGCATTAAGAAATAGTTGTATTGGATCACTAAGGCTGGTCTTAGTGTGAATTTCATTTCCCAGTTTTCAACACTCCCATATTTTGGAAACAATGCAGAAGAGTTTCATCCGCATGAAACTCTCTCTAGTCCCATGAAACTTTTATCACCTCTCTCTTCATAAATGTAGTGACATGTCAATATATTTAATGTCCATGAAACTCTCATTGAGATTGACCTAATGCACTTTGTGAATCTAACCGCAAGACTAAAATATGGATCAACGCCATTGGATGTATAGTGATTGAAAGCGTGGAAGGCCAACATGTGATTGGGTTGAGAGCATACATGTAGGCTAGGACGATGGCCCCAACTCGGTCCATTCAGGGGCCCGCTAGGCGATGGACTCTTTTTTTTTATATAATTCTGATTCAACTCTGTATGGTCATCTAAATTTTTTTTTATGGTTTGCTATCAGAGTAGGTCAGTAGGATCAAAAGATGTACGCCGCTTGGCTGGTTGGTTGCTGCTGGCCACGGTTGGTGAACCTTTTTTTTTGCGTTGCATTTAAGTTCCTCTGTACACATAGAAACTGCTATGGGAATCATGGATTAGGAGAGATGGTTTTCACCAGATATTAATTGCTTTCTGTCTCCTTTAGAAACTACTATGGATTGAGACTGCCCTAAGGGTTGGATATCAGTTTGGTTGCATGCATACATGCAGTTGTGCTCCACCCAGAAGCCCGAATCCATGCAGGAAAGCGGCTACAATTTGGTTTCTGTCACGCGGTTAATTTATACCTCGGTTTCTATGAGACGGTTTATGTTGAGGACATTTTTCAAACTCTGCTTGCGCCTTAAAAATGGTACCGGAGGGAGTAGCATGAATGAATTCAGGGCTACAACGAGGAATGAGAAGAGTTAGGTTTCATGTTATAAAGAAGTTTTTAAAAAAAATAAATTTTATGTTACAGAAAACCCCAGGATATTATAATTAAGATGTCATATTCTAGACAAAACTAGTGACATGTTATTAAATTATGAGGAAGGGTAAGAGTTTGGCCAATCTTAATGAGGAGTTTCATGGCATAGTTATCAAAATTGCTACATCAACTTTTGTGTTGCTAACCGTGACAACATGTTTTATCCAGATGAAACTCTATGAAACTCTTTCTATCACTCTCTTAATAATTAACTTGTCAACTCAACAAATTTGCCGATGTGTCACAACATTAAATAAGAATGAAACTCCTTTGAACCCCCTACTGAGACCGGCCTTAGAGTAAGTATAACAATTGTCTTATAGCCAAGCTAGTCAGCATTTTTGTTGATATAGATGAGAGAATAGAGGAGAGAGATGAGAGCTCAACTCTCATGCAGGCAACAAGTTGGGCACGAAAGCATAGACAGTATGAGTCCCAATAGAGATGTATGTGAGGAGGAATATGAAAGAGAATAAAAATATATAATAATAAAAAATTATAGACAGATAGAAGACTAACTATTGTATAGTTTAGCTCTTACTCCCCTCCTAAAGTTTAGTAAGCTAAATCTAGTTCCATTTAGTCACTTTTCACCCTAAACACTATTACTAAGGCCCGGTTTGGTTAGATGGGACTAGAGACTAATGAGCCCAATTTAATCCCAATTAGTCCCTAATTTGCCAAACAATGGGATTACTAGAGGGACTAAAGGTCTCTACTACTGTAGTCCCATGAGGGGTGACTATTTGGGACTACATGCCTAAAAGGACAACCCATGCCCCTCAATTATTGCCCTCCTACCTATCCCAAAAGCATTGAATAGGGGTATTTTGGTCATTGTCCAGCAGCTTTAATGGTCTTTAGTCCATTTTAGTTTCTTGAACCAAACAGGGTAGAGAACTAAAGTTTAGTCCCTACTTTAGTCTCTAGTCTCTTGAAACAAACAGTCCCTAAATGGGATTAAGTGAGCTTTAACCAACTAGTCACCAAATTATTGCTAAATGGGACTAAACCTCACATTTTAGTCACTTTTCACCCAAAGGGACTAAAATGCCTCTTTTTAGTCTCTTTTAGTCATCCAAACCAAACATGGAGTGACTAAAGTTTAGTCCCTGGCTTAGGTGACTAAACTTTAGGAGGGGCAAACCAAACGGACCCTTAACTTATAGCTACGTATTTGGCTGTATTATTGACCTTGCTCTTAGGTTTCATGTCGATGTACATAGTTGCTAAGGGTTTATGAAACTCGAAATCTGAAATAATAAAACCCCTGGCGTGAGCAATTGTCCGTCTTTTGATCTTAAGATCTCGAAACAACTGATTGCTTTTTACTGGCCTATAAAACTGAATGAAATTTGTTGTTCATTCATCAACTAAACTTGTAAAGATGAGATCTTGGAAGCCCTATTTGTTTTGCTGAAATTTGGCTTATGCTGAGGTTTACGTTGATTTGTTATGAGAGAAAAACACTGCTCATTCGCTGAAAAGTACCGATGTTCTGGCGGCTGTAGTCATTTTGAATTTTAACTGATCCGCGTCGGCGACGAGAGTCGAGACGCTATAGAAGCACAAGGGTTGGGTTCCCTAAGAGGCTGAGACTACTTGTACTATACCTACTAGTAACCAGTAACCACACTCAAGATTGCCTACGCTTCTGAGTGCAGGGCACCGGAGTATGTCGCCGCGGCGACAGGAGAACAGGAGGCAGGTGAGCGTCAAGGCGGAGCTCGATCCCTTGATCACGCTCAAGGTGCTTGACCAGGAAGGTCGCAGGGCCTTCCACACCATCAGGATGAGCGACAAACCACAGGGCGTCATGGATGCCTATTACAAGAAGGCGGGCGACGACGTGACCTACGGCACCGGGACCTTCATGTTCGATGGCTCCGTCCGGGTGCAGGGCCACAACACGCCGGCGCAGCTCGATCTAGATGATGAAGATGAGATCGAGTTCTTCTTCTTCCTGACCATGATTGGCGGCGGATGGGTTGATGCTTGCGTTTAAGCCATTACTTGTGTTGCCTGCGTTTAATACTTTTGAGTAGTATTTGTCCTGTTCGCTTAACTTATAAGCCGTACTTTTTCAGTCAACGAACAGTATTTTTCTCTCACAACAAATCAGCCAACAATACTTTCAGTCATGGTTACGTGCACCATGCCGTATCATCTTCAATTCATTTCTACTATGCTTGTAGTGATGTACTCGTGATTTTTTTTGTCTTAATTTATCTTCCCGGTTTACCTTCTGATTTCTACTGTCAAACTTTTCAAATTCGAATTGAACAGGAATGACAGTATAGCACTGTTAATCTGTTAGAGATGGGATGGTAGAGAATGGGATTGGTAGAGTTTAACACTGTATCTCTCTCTCTCTCCGATTTACATGTTTACTGCTACAAGAGCTCCTCACGAAGACGGGAGCTCGCCGCCGGCATCCTGGCCGCCGCCGCCGCCACCAAAAACACTCCCCGAGCCAAAACGTAAACTTGTTATACGAGCTAGTAGCTACTGTATTCCCTTCTCTGCCATACAGACTCAGACCAATTTAGTTGTTCACCCAATCGCGGCCCGTGTAGCGCAGGTTGGGCTTCCTGGGCTTGAGGCTGAGACGCGTCGGCCTGCTGACGATTGATGTCGCGCTGCCGGGGCGCTGGGACTCCTATTGGTTCGACGCCTGGAACTCGTTGTCAGATGGTGGAGCGCTGACATAGCACTGCTTGGATAATTCACTCCTTGTTCTGTTGTTTTTTTTATTTTTGCACAATCTACAAGCGCAGCCTTGCAGATTTGGTCCGCACAGCTCGATCAATATAACTATGCTAGTTAGCTCCCCAGTTCCTTGAGGATACACGGCCTCTAGAAGCTTCGAATCAAGGTTTTATTTAGTTTTTATTAGTGCCTAGTATCTATCGTGGTGGTGTCATCATTGTGCAGTATGCAGCTGATACCATATTGTTCCTTGAGGATGATTTAGACAAGAATAGGAGTCTATTTCGTTGAGATGTGATCTATGAAAAACATGTTGTAAGCTATGCGCTATGAAAAAAGTTGTAAATTGTTTGACAACAACTTAAAGCAACTATGAAACATATTCCTTCCCTTTATATCCCTTGAAACAATCATAAAAAGTTTCTCTATTTCCATCCATTTAGAAATACAGAAAGCCAAAAGCCAAAAGCAGGGTTTATGAAAAAAACACCTTCTAGTTATAGCTATTTGGTTGGTGTTCTTTTTTTTTTTCCAGCTGAAGCGCTTTCCAGAAGTTGAACCAAACACAGTCTAAGAAATTGAAGTGACTTTTGTCTTGTTTTAGAACCACTCCAGGGTGATAAAAGTGATATTATGATTTTGGTTATGGAAGAGGAAGTAGCATATGATTTTCAGGAACTGTTTTTGTTGCAAGAAGGGTGATTTTTCCATTCAGGTAGTTGGGGTTCCCTTGCATCACTCCAAGCTAAGGAAAGGGGATTTACATCCTATTGTAGACAAGATTATTAAAATCATAGCTGGATGGAAAGGTAGATTGTTGTCTTATGCTGCTAAGCTAACTCCCAAAAATCTTGTTTTGAAAGTATTCCCTTTTACCTCTCACATTTTCACATGGTCAAGAACACAATAGAGCTTGTATTCGTTGAATTGTTCTTATTGGACTGTATTTGATTATAAATGGCTGAGGCCCAGTTTGGGTCGACAGAAATAAGTTGCATGCTAGTTGCTACAAAAGCTATAGCTGATCTAAATAGCCCAACTTATAGCTCATTTTTGAACTATTTAACCACCTAGCAATATAAAATACTATTAGCTAGCTCCCTCCAGCTATTGTAGCTTATAAAAGGTTTAGTGCTGATATTGGTGGCATATATGGTACCCTCTACCCAGCACCAGGACAGAACATTTTGGTGGCATGGAATTTAGACTTCGGGCACGTCCATGTCGTGCTCGTATCTCGCTGCGACTGATAATGATCAGGCAGGAACACATTTATACAATGATTAGAATGTTTTAGAAATTTTGTATACTTTTCTAGATATTTTTTCTATTTTTCTAGAGCTAAATATATTTTTAAGCATCTAAAGATATTTTCATGAGCCCTATTTTTTTTTTTTGATTTGACGTATCCCAAACAATGTCCATATTGTTTTCAAAAAATTTAAAAGCACAGAGACATTTTCTGTGGTTTAAAAACCATATCAAGTATTTATAAAAAAATTAACTAAAAAAGGAAAAAAAACTACTCCAAACTAGGGTAGGAAGGTAATTTGAATGGTTTCGAGAGTTCAGAAGGTAAGATGTCTGGGTTTGGAGTTTGAGAAAAATCAAACTACGGCGATAGTTCAGAGAGGTACCCTAGACTTTTTCCTTTGACTTGGGAGGCAGAAGGGAGCGCTAAGAGCATTGGTTCCTTCTATGACTGAGTTGTGCTTGTATGGTGGGAGATTGAACCTAGGGAAGCTGGAAAAGGGTACGTAACAAGCGAAGGAAGAGCCTAAAGTCACGGGGCGTCTTCAACCTCGCCACGCAACTCAGAGCCCCTCCTACACAGTTGACCTATGGTGAAAACTTAATGGGGATAGGGGGGCTCCAAAGGCTGCACAATAGTAGGGGGCTCAAGCCCTCTGCCCACCACTAGGTCTGCCCCTGTACACAGTGGAATTCAGAAGCAAAGGTGGAGAAAACATGAAGGCCGAGTGGAAATTCGGACACATCACTTGGAGAACGAGAATCATCAGGTCTAGATCCTATTAGCCTTCCTGTGGAGTGTGGAAGAATTGATGACTTGATGCAGTGACGTGAGCATACATAGTAGAATAAGATAAGATTTGAACTGGTGGTCTGTTGGCGGTCCCTTATGGATGAATTTAATTTGCTCTTGTTATCTTAGTACTCTTTCAAAAAAGCTAGTACTCCTACAAAGCAACGCATTTTGTTGAGCCACATCACAATAAACTAATGGCCATTACATTTGAACCATTTATTGTTAGAACCTAACCTTAATTAGGATCTTAATTATCCTAATTACATGAACACATGATCCATGCTTAGCATTTAATCGCTCTTAATTAGCACTAACACGTGCCTAACAACGATGCCCTAAGGGCTACTGAAGTCCCTGTGCGTGCTTGTCCAGCAGGCATGGCGCCAGTCTGCTTTTGTGGCCATCGGTAGTGAAGACTCGTATGCCGACATATGGGATAGCTGGCGGCTGGCTTCTGGTCTTCAGAGCCAATCGCGTGCTCCTATCAGATTGGACCTAGGACTTAGGGTTAGCAGCTTGTTCGCTTGCTTGTATATGTTGATTATAAGCTAGAACAATATTTTTCTCTCACACCAAACCAGTCAGCAGTAAATAATCCATAATCATTTACGACGAAACGAACAGGCTAAGAGTATCTACGGTCTTAGAATTAGTCACACATGAGGGTCGTGACTCTCTTTTCTCTTATAGCATGGGTCAGCTTGGGACTAGGCTAGAATTTAGTTAGGCCCTATTTGGATCCTATGGTTTAAAGTTTAGCACTAAACTTTCGACCACATTAGCTTTTAAGGCTCCAAACTTTTTATATAATGGCGTGGACATCATCCGCATCTCCATGTTAGTCTTCATGGACCGTCACAAGTGCCCATTATGCAACTACAATTTTGCCATCGCCACATTTGGCACCAAGCGCACAGGCATGTTCCTTTCCCTCTCGGCACAAAACAATGGACCCAAAGCATCTAAAATGGTTAATGTAGTGCCGTGGGTGACCACCATCGGTGCCGCTAAAGTGGACCCGATTGTTCTTGGTGAGCCTCAGCCTTCAGGACACAGTAGAGGAGGGAAGGGGGTGTGGGGGCAACCGCCCCCAAGTTAGTGTAGTTTCCATTGAATAGTTTTAAATTTGACTAAATTTGGATAAGATTTGTATAACTCCAAACAAAGAAGATTTTGCATTTCTGGTTCCACCACTATGGGGATGGTACCAACATGCTCCCGCTAGTGTTCAACTCGTGTTCCAAGAGGAGTCTTACCCCTGACCAAATCATGAAAAGATCATTGTGTGCATGCTCTTGGATATTAATGTATTAGAGCCAAGCTCTCCTCTCTTCTCTTCTCTACATCAACAAAAATGATCACTAGCTTGACTATAAGACTATTACTGTACTTAAATGAACGTAGGTGAGAGAATCTAAAAGTCTCCTATCCACGAGCAAGCAAGCACAACTCTACTCGCCCCTCTCACCGCCGGAGGATTTGAGGGAGTAGCAGTGTAGCATAGCCGGAGGTTTTGAGGGCTGTAGGCGTGTAGCCATTTTGATTTTTGGAATCGATCAGTCTGCACTCTGTACCTAGTTGCCGAACAGCTAAACAAATTACTGCAATGGCCAATAAGCTCTCGTAGGGCAGTTCCAATCACGAAACTATAGATTTATAGGCCAGTTCCTATACTTACAGTATCAATTAATATAGGTAGGGGGGGACTAAAACAAATCAAAGGAGATGTTGCTTGTCTTGTGCGTGTAAGCATTTGTAATATGGATACTATTTTTTTTTTCTACATGTAGCTCCGTCCCTAAATATAGTCATTTTCTATAGATAAAAACTATACTTTTAATGGGTACTTTCTACAAATAAATTTTTTACTCAATCATCTATCTTTTGTCTCCTACCATCTAACTATCGCAGCTAGCTCTTTCTATTCTAGTTTTCTTGTAGATATGATTTTTATATAGGAAACCATTTCCTTTATCTCTTCCTCTTTAATTCTGACTGGTAGCTATGCACGTGCGATGCACGTGTTTGTTGTTGCGATTGACGACATCCTATATATATATTATAGAAAAGATTGTTAGATAATATGGTTTCTAAATTATATATTACTCTCTCTGTCCTTCAATACAATTTATTATTACTTCTAAAATTTATATTGAATTATAAGACACTCTATACAGTGTCTATGTTCAGATTTGGCAAAGTTATTTATTAAAAACAACCCAAATTTTGAGGAGAAACTTCTTAATTGG